TGAGAAACCTATACGTGGGACAGGAAGCAACAGTTAGAACTGGATATGGAACAACTGACTGGTTCAAAACTGGGAAAGGAGTACGACAAGGCTGTATATCGTCCCCCGGCTTATTTAACTTATATGCAGAATACATCATGCGAAAGGCCGGACTGGAGGAATCCCAAGCCAGAATTAAGATTGCTGGAAGACATATCAACAACCTCCAATATGGAGATGATACCACTCTGATGGCAGAAAGTGAGGAGGAATTAAAGAACCTTGTAATGAGGGTGAAAGAGGAGAGCGCAAAAAACGGTCTGAAACTCAACATCAAAAAAACTAAGATCATGGCCACTGGTCCCATCACCTCCTGGGAAATAGAAGATATGGAAGCAGTGACAGCTTTGACTTTCTTGGGCTCGATGATCACTGCAGATGGAGACAGCAGCCACGAAATTAAAAGACGCCTGCTTCTTGGAGGAAAGTGATGACAAACCTGGACAGCATCTTAAAAAGCAGAGACATCACCTTGCCAACAAAAGTTTGAATAGTCAAAGCTATGGTTTTCCCTGTAGTGATGTATGGAAGTGAGAGTTGGACCATAAAGAAAGCTGACCGCCGAATAATTGATGCCTTTGAATTGTGGTGCTGGAGGAGACTCTTGAGAGTCCCCTGGACTGCAAGGAGAACAAACCTATCCATTCTAAAAGAAATCAAACCAGAGTGCTCACTGGAAGGACAGATCCTGAAGCTGAGGCTCCAGTACTTTGGCCATCTCATGAGAAGAGAGGACTCCCTGGAAAAGACCCTGAATGTTGGGAAAGTGTGAAGGCAAGAGGAGAGAAGGGGACGAGAGAGGGCAAGATGGCTGGACAGGGTCTTCAAACCGACCAACATGAATTTGACCCAACTACAGGAGGCAGTGGAAGACAGGAGGGCCTGGCGTGCTCTGGTCCATGGGGTCACGAAGAGTCAGACACGACTAAACAACGATGACGACGATCCCTCCTGGAGCTACGCTGCACACACACACACACACACACACACACACACACACACGTACCTGAATTTTTAGGAGCAACGACCCCTGCGGGCAGTCCGGGAACTCCTGCTGCACAGGAGGAGGACGGCAAGGTGGGGCGGCTCGGGATGGCCCTGCTGCTGATTCTCTGGTCTGGCTGTAAATGCAGCTGCAAAATAAACAGCAATAATACTTTGATATTCTGTTCCCGCTTGTTCTGTCCCTTGAAAAATCTTGCCTTTTCCCTTTGTTCTTTGTACTTGTTGTTCCAGACCTCCTTCCTTCTTTCGAGGCCATGATCTAAAAGACTGGGCTAGGCCAGGTATTTGTATAGTTGATGAAACGTGACATCACAAGGTATTGTTACCCGGTGTGGTGATGAAAAGTGACATCACAAAGTCTTGTTATAGTTATTTTCAGGGGATTTTTTTTAAAAAAATGTACAACCATCTACATTTATTCAAATACAGTCATGTCATCTTCTTCTGTTTGCTACACAATAGTGGAGGGCAGGGTTTCACTTAACTAGGTCTTATTTTTGGGGTAGGGCTTCTATTATGAGCATCCTGAAAAATCATACTAGGTTAGGTCTTCTTCTTGAGGGGGACCCCAACCCAAAGCATCTAATGGCCTGCAATATCCTGCCTATTGTAAGCCATTTCTATGGAAAGAAAGCAAGAATAGTCGTAGGTCCCCCCCCCCTTGTGAACTGAATACCAAGTTGATATAGGTATTGGTATCATCATCTCGACTAGAGACTCCCTGTTCATCATAAAGAAATCCTCCAGGATCTGCCTCTAGACACAAGATGGGGGTTGATCCTGCTCTCACTATCCTCAGAAATGTCAAGTTTCCTCCAAAATAGCACCCTATTCCAGCCATTTTCAACCTTTTTTTGGCCATGACCATAAACACAATATGAAAGAAATAAAGGTCAAATCAGGAGTGTATAAGTCACATAGCAGACTTTATAAATTAGTGTGTGAATAATTGTTTCCGGTCTGTAGCCCCTTTCAAATGTACCAGGACCCCCCCCTCCCCGAAAATGGCTGCATGTGAGATCATAATCCCCTTGTATTCTACCTCGAATGCAGCGGAAGCACACAAAATTCTTTAAAAGTCTGGTGGTTTTTCAAATCACTAAACAGATCTAGTACTTCAGACATATCATGAGAAAACAAGACTCAGTAGACAAGACAATAATGTTAGGGAAAGTGCCAGTCAGTATGAAATGAGGAATGCTTAACATGAGATGGACTGATTAAGTAAAGGAAGCCATGGCTTTTAGTTTGCAAGCTCTTAGGAGAGCTGTTAGTGACAGGACCACTTAGAGGTCATTAATTCATGATTTTTCAGAGTACTGTAGTCATGTTTGTCAATGCACACAGTATCAGACCAAAAAAGAAAGAAAGAAAGAAAATAGTGGCACTTTTAAAATTAATTGAAAAATATAGCAATATCAAATATAAATATAACAACAGAAAATACTGTAAAACATAACATATATAAGTTAGTCTTATATATGTTATGTTTTACAGTATTTTCTGTTGTTATATTTATATTTGATATTGCTATTATTCTCTTTTGGAATTTCCACTTCCCTGGACAAATGTTCTGTCTTTTGTATTCCTTTTTCTGCCTATTAATTAACATTTACCAGCTTCCACTCTGTTCGTCTTCCATCCATCATAAGATTTCTGGGTTATTTTTCTCTATCACATGCTCTGAATCCTGCGGCTGACTGCATGGTTTCTGAAGCCTCATAAGCACCCAAAAGCAGGCAGTTTTTAGTTCTCTTGCCTGGATGCGTCAGAAAAATAAATACAAGAACTGCAGATCAAATCCATCTTGAAGTTTCACTATAATAGCTAAGGTGAGGCTATCATACTTTGGACATTTCAGGAGAAAACAAGAGGCACTGAAAAACGATCATCAAGGTAGGAAAAACGGAAGATTGTAGGAAAAAAACGGAAGACCAAACATGAGATGGGCAGATCTGAGCAGGGCTGTTAATTTTTTAAATTTATTTAAAATATTTTTACTCTGCTTTTCTCCTTAAAAAGGACCCAAGGTGGCTCACAACATAAAAAGGCAGGATTAAAAGCTAACAACAGCGAGTACTGTATACAAACACTGAAAGGGATCAAACAGAAAAGGAACAAACAAAAGCAATAACAAAATACATTCAAAGCAGTTAAGATACAATCCATTAAAAAAAAAGCCTCTTTTGCCTGCCTGCAGGACAGCCAAGATGGGGCCAGCCTGGCTTCCAGTGGGAGGGAGTTCCAAAGTCTGGGTGCAGCAATTAAATTAATAGATGAATTACAACTCGAAAGCAAGTCAACGGCACATAATATCATTTTTTGAAATAACTTTATTTTATTTTTTTCTGGCTATACATTGCATTGATCTGCGTTCACCCGGACTCCTAGGTCCATAAAAATATTTTTGTTTTTCCTGCGCGGCTTCAGAACCAAAGGTCTGCCGGTTTTATCCTGGATGTCAGCCTCGGAAAGCCGCCTCTCCCCGCCTCGGAGGCCGCTCGTTTCCCGGAATCGAGCCGCCCTTTCTCGACAACCAAAAGCGAAAGAATATTTCGCTCCGCGTCGAGAGCGCGCATGTCTCGGAAAGCACCGCTTTCCCGTTATAGCTCGCTAGCGGAGGGAGATCTGCCCAGCTACTGATGACGCGAGGCCCTTTCCTTTATTCCGATTGGGGCAGGAAGGGCGCCTTATAAGCGGGGAGCGCGTCCGTGTTAAGAAGGTGCGCAGCGCGCGGTTCAGACGGAGCGGGTGTAGCGCGGGGGTTTCCGAGGAGTTTTGCGCGTCTGTACTGCGGAGCAGGCCATGGCGAGCTACCTGACCTGGGTCGTCTTTGCGATCTGCATCACGGTTCTGAAAGCCGTAATAAGTAAGACTTCATTTTATTGCAGCCTGCGGAACTCCCTAACACTTTCTTTCTTTCTTTCTTTCTTTCTTTCTTTCTTTCTTTCTTTCTTTCTTTCTTTCTTTCTTTCTTTCTTTCAACAAAAAAATCCCAGGGAAAATCCTGCTCAGTTGTTTTCTTTTTCTTTTGTTTTTTGTTTTTGAAGGAGAAGGGAGAGAGCTCCGTTTTCCTCTGAATTCATAACAGGGAAGGATTTGAGCTTGTGCTTTTTGTTTAGTGGGGAAAAAAACAACACACCCTGCCATGGGGCAGCTCAGTTGTTTTTTTTTTTTAAATTGTATTTATACAAATGCAAGCAAACAGATCCAAGCACCCAAATTTGTATTTATACAAATGCAAGCAAACAAATCCAGGCACCTACTAGACGCTTTGGGTACAGAGATCCGGGAGTCACGTCCAGACCATGTCTTTGTGCGGAGGAATAATGGCTTTTATGGGGGCTTCTGCGATTCCAGAGAGGCAAGATGTCTGGGATGGTGTGATACACACCACTTGCCCCTTGCCACAATCCCCACGTGGCCCCTGCCTGTCTCATCTAAATGCTCACACTACAGTACATGTTTTTCAGTGGACACCAGTTGATTACATCAATGTTACCAATTATTAATAATCGATATGCAGGCGATGTGTCCTTTTTTTTTGAAAGAACCAAATAGAAATTGTTTCATCTTGCAGAGGATGATAGTGAATGTTGTGAACTCGTAAACATCCTCCTTCAGGCAGGCTCCCACTCAAAGTCCCAAAACTTTACAACTGTCCCTAAACTCTCACTCCCCCTCCTGCTGCTGAGTCTCTTCTTTCTCCTGACTCCGCCTCTCCATCTATGCAGATATTATATTAATATTTATGATCTGGGCGGATGCTACAACCGCTAAGGCCTGTGATGGGGCCACAGCAGGTGGGGACCCGTTTGGGCACATCTTCCTCCTCCTGGCTGAGATGCAAGGTGAGAGGGTGCCAGAGATGCCACCCCCCAACCAGCTTACAATGCAGGATGGGAGTTGGATGACTAGAATCAGGGAGAATGTATTGTTTGTACATATTTGAAGAGGCACTGGTCCAGCACGAGGCAAGAAGTCCGCTTGTTTGTACATATTTGAAGAGGCACTGGTTCAGCACGAGGCAAAAAGTCCGCCCTGAAACCAGCAAAATCGGACCTGGACAGAGGAAAGGTGGTATTGGTCTTCAGTGTGGAAGGGGTGGTCACTTTCAAATTGGCCTTCTCAGCCACACTAGACGGTGTTCCAAGACCTGTTTTCAGAGCAGGTTACTCTAGTATCTCTTGACTGAAGGATGCCTACAGCTATAGACTGTACTGAGCAAGACAGTAAAATTTAGAAGACCAGAACATGTGCAGCTCAGTGGTTGGGAGTTCGATTCCCTAGTTGTGCATCCTTGACGGGCTGGACTTGATGATCTATAGGGCCCCTTCTAGCTCCGCATTTCTAAGATTATTATTATTTTCTAACAATGAGGCCTTCTTTAGGAAAACATGTCAACCCTCCTCTCCCAATATACAGTATATGTTTATTTATTGGATTTCTATCCCGCTATCCCGCCCGTCTAGACCAAAGGTCTACTGTGGGCTGTATCACAGTAATCTGTGATAGAGGGTGAGGCCTAGGGGGAAAAACCTGAAGAAAACTATTGTGATTCAGGAAAATTTCGAGGGAAATTCCTGCTCATCAGTTTTCTTGTTTTTCTTTTGGTTTTTGAAGGAGAGCAGAGAGCTCTGTTTTTCTTCTGAATTAATTGCAGGGCAGGATTTGAGCTTGTGCTTTGTTCAGTGAAAAAAACAATCTGCCATGTGGCAGCTCAGGTTTTTTAAAATTTGTATTTATACAAATGCAAGCAAACCAATATACATACCTAGAAAAACCTAAATAACATTAAAAATACAATGTTACAGTTAGATTGTTTGTACTACTTGTGTTTTTCTCTCAGAGTGACTTTTTTTTTAAAAAAAATGTATGCCTTTTAATCTTTGCCTTAATATTACTTGTTAATTGATGTAAGAGGTCTCCTTCATTGTTCATAATTTTCAAACATCACTTTTTATTGATGTTAACCACTGTTATATACTGCTTTCAACGTTAAATATTGTGTTTCATTGTTTTTAGCTGCCTTAGGTCCTTCTCAAGGAGAAAGGCGGGGTAAAATATTTTAAATAGATAAATAAATACATAAATGAATAAAGTGCTCTCCTCCCCTGGGACTGTTTGGAGGTATAACTAGTTTTTCCTAAATTTATGGAACCCCGGTTTCCTTCCAGAACTGCATTGACTCTTCCAAAGGTGCATGGCCCTTCCCTTTTATTAATACAAAATTAATAAATTCTTCCTGTATATCAATAACAATATTATTATTTATGAAAGCCTTCTTTAGTTTAATATTGCATGTTACTCTATCATCCTGAACTTCTGTATACTGTTACTTTAATTGAAAATCATACTTTACTTTCGAATTCCTTGCTACCATTAATCTTGTCGCTATGAGTTAATGTGGAATTAATTCTTTCTGTGTTTTCCCGACTCCCACTAATAATCGCCTTCATGCAAGCCACGGCTCCTGGTGAGAGCTGGTAGCACCATCTTAGAAGAAGCAGTTTTTCCAGCAAGGATGAGTTTTCTTCGCTTCATCCTGTCGCACATCTGTAGTGAGTGAAAGAGACCGGGAATGGAGCCGACCCTACCATTAGGCAAAGATGATGATGCAGCAGTAATATAGAGGGAGGAGAGGGTTGTGTGTGAGGCAGCCTCCCCTTGTAAACAACCCTGCTGCCATCAGGTGGAATATAGAGGATGCTATTGTGCCACTAAGAGAGCAGAAAGATTCAACTGCCATGCTTGGCTTTTGTATATAGGTCAAAATGGGACGCCATTTTGTTTTTTTGCTGACGGCAGCCAACAGCTTTGGGCGAGCCCTAACCAAGAACATGACGGAAACCGTAATGGAAGGGTGCTAGAGAAAGTTTGTGGGCCCACGTTGCACGAGACGTAGGAAATTTATCCTCAGATTTTTTTTCCAAATATTTTTATTTTTGCCGAAAATTTGCCAGGGCAGGAGGACTCTGAATCTGATTAGAGCAGTGGCAACAGGAAGCAAAGCAAAAGTGGGGAATTTACTGTTTGTTTTTTTTAATGGAGGGAGGTTAACCCTTTTCTCTTGCACTCTTTCTTCAATTATAATAGTTTCTCAGTCTGAAGCTGTCTACCAAGACAGGCAAAAATCCCCGTATACTTCTTCTTTCTGCTACACCGTTGATGGAAGATAGTAGGGTGGCCGTGTTTAGATCAGACAAAAATGGGACGAGTGGGGGAAATGTAGGTGGAATTAGCCCCACTTAAAGGAAGGAGTGCATGCATGCTGATCCGATTTGGCCATAGACGAAATGTGGGTATATATCTCACATTGCTACTGCTGGCCTCGGGAGTAATGGAGGGAAGGGTTAGGTGTTCAATCATTGCTCTTCCTGTCCCGAATAAAATGCCTTAAACAGATTTTCTTCCTTTCTTACCCTTCTGAGCATCCTCCTGATGCCCTGGGAGGCACTAGGGGCTTCATTAACGCCTGTTTATTGGCTTGTTTCTAGGGCTTTTTAATGAGTCAGAAATTCCTGTTCAGACTCAATGTTGCCCGGTTGTAAAGAGTAATAAGAGGAAGGGTGAAATGGCGTAGTAGCAAATGCTGCTTGCACTTTCTGTTTTCCCTCCTCCTGGTTTCTAAGCCAGTAAACGTCGACCTCTTCTGCTGGAATGCAAGCCAGTGCATTTGTTGTGTGTCTTCGACAGAAGGAAGAGGCTGCACACCCAGGCAGGCTCTAACTCCTAGGAATTGTGTGGAATTAAACTACCCGTTTCTATCTATTATATATTCCTGCCTAATTGTTAAGATATGTTAGGAAACAGTTTTGTTGTACTGTATAATGTTCTGCATCATTTTGTATTGTCTGAAATCGATCCCAATTGTGTTCCTCAAAGAGAGGGCAGGATATAAATATATACATATTTTAGTATATCGATAAAGTGATGAGATCCACCCTCGGGTAGGAGAGGAATGCCAACACTGCAGAAATAAATATGCAGTCTTTAAGCTTTCTACAGTACAGTGGTGCCTCGCTAGACAGTTACCCCGCATGACAGTTTTTTCTGCTAGACATTGACTTTTTGCGATCGCTATAGCAGTTCACAAAACCGTGATTCCTGTGGGTCAATTTTGCTGGACAATGTTTGGTCCCTGCTTCGCAAACCGATTTTTGCTAGACGATGATTTGTTTTTCGCTAGACAATGATTTCGCTAAACAGCGATTTCAGTGGAACGGATTATCATCGTCTAGCGAGGCACCACTGTATAGGGAAATAACATGAGGGTTGGAAATGGTTTTTGATTATCGTTACTGCACAGGCAGTAAAAGATGTGAAAGAACTGTTATGTGCTGTTAAGTTGCCTCCAATTTGTGGTGACCTTATGAATGAGCCATAAATGGCCCGTCCTCAACAGCCCTGCTCGGCTCTTGGAAACTCATGCCTGTGGTTTCCTTTACGTAGGAAGTCAATCCATCTCATATTTGGTCTTCCGCTTTTCCTACTGCCTTCACTTTTGCCGACATTATTGTCTTTTCCAGAGAGTCTTGCTCTTGAGGGTCTTTTCTAATTCCTTCATTGCTGCTCCCGAGTCTCAGTCTTCTGATTTCTTGGCTGCAGTCTCCATTTGGGTTTATGACAAGTCTGGGTTTCAATTTCTTCATTCTCAAATCTGACGTTGTGTAGTTATTCTGTAGTCACCATTTTTATCATGATAAGAGAGTGCAAAATGAAACAAGAGATAGGGCTGGAAGATGAGACTCCCAGGTTGGAAAGCAGTCGAGCAGCTACTAGGGAATAGTCAAGTTCAAAGTTGCTCAACGAAATATATTAAATACCATTAGGGGCTGTTCATGGGAAAGAATAGCCTGGGTCAATTTCTCCCCCTTCATTCCTACAGGAGAGCCGGACATCCAGGTCTATACCCGCTTTCCAGTGGAGTTTGGCAAAACCAACACCCTCAATTGTTATGTCGAGCACTTCCATCCTCCCAAAATCGACATCACTCTTCTCAAGGATAATGTCCCAATTGAGAATGTGAAGAAGTCTGATCTTTCCTTTGACCGCGACTGGACCTTCCATTTGTTGGTCTCTGCAGAATTTGTTCCTGAGCAGAACTCTGTGTACACCTGCAAAGTGGAACATGATAGCTTGCAGCAAGCCAAGATTGTAAAATTGGGTGAGTATTTTACTTTTGTCTTCTGGGAATGTGTTTTGTGCTCCTGCTCCTTTTCTATCACATTCTGAGACGGGTGGGTCATTGTAGCTTGGATTCCCTGAGAAAGCACCTTATCGTTCACCAGACAGTGATTCCTATGAGGGAATTTCGCTGGACAAAGTTTGGTCCCTGCTTTGCAAACCAATTTTCGCTAGACGATTTTGACAGCTCCCTCCGTGCTCGTAAAACGGGTGTTTTCGGGACCTAAGCTTCGCAAGACAGCTATTTAAACAGCTGATCGGCGGTTCTCAAAGCGGCTTTTCTATGGCTGATCTTCGCTAGACAATGACGATTCTTCCCCATTGGAACGCATTAAACAGGTTTCAATGCATTCCAGTGGGGAAATGCTTTTTGCTAGACAATGATTTCGCTAAACAGCGATTTCAGTGGAACGGGGTATCATCGTCTAGCGAGGCACCACTGTCTATCTCTTGAACTCTGAACAAGTGTGTAGGCTCCATGTGCCATCCCATGTCTTCAGCTCAGCCTTGTGGCGCTTCTGCTTGTAAAGCAGGACAGTGAACAGAAAATACCCCCTTGGGCAAATGGCAGGACAGAAGGGCTGCATGCACAATAAACAGTTAGGCAGGAAGGAAGAAAAACAAGATTTATTATACAACAGTCAGAGAGATCTCCCTGTATTTAAAAAATACTGACGCCGTTGCCTTCTTTTACAGACTATTAATAAGAAACTGATGGTCCCAGTAAACCAGGTATGGTATGGCTCTTTCATGGGTTGGATGTGAATTTGCTATGTTTGTGTATTAAAAGAGGAAATTTCACCTTACTTTAAAATCCCGTTGATCTGTTTCCTAGTAAAGCTAGTCTTTAAAAGCGGGTGGGGGTAGATAGGATATAAAATAGAAGATTTGCAGCTTATCTGTCTGCGACACCTCTTTGTCGCAGCTTTGCAGCCTATCATAGAATCTGGCCCCTCTTCCTTGCAAAAGTGCACATTCCGGGTCGGAGCGATGCTCCCTGGCTTGACAAAATGGTGATGTAAAATCTTCAGGCAGACGTTCCCTTCCTAGTAGCCGAGGCCATGAGCAGTCCGACTGAGCCAGCAAGCGCTGTGTTGTATACTTTAAACAATGTGACCCGAATCTGAATTTGGGAATGTTATTTTTTTTTCCCTACAGCTTGCAAAATCAGCAAACCAAGTAACTTTTTCAAGCTCTGTATTGTATAGCTGGCTAGTTGGATCAGTGGTTTAAGTAGAGGTTGGAAGTTGATTCCTCATTGGGCCTCCTTGACGGGCTGGACTCAGTGATCCATAAGATCCCTTCCACCTCTGCTGTTCTAAAAGGGATTGATTGACTGTCTGATTGATTGATTGAATTTGTATATTGCCCATCTAGTTGCATGCCATTCCTCTCGGTTGTGTACACCGAAAGAAACATATGAAAGCACCATTCCCCACTCATTCAACAAACATATAATCAAAGCCCCCATCCATGCTCAGGTTTTTAAAGGTTGTGTGTTGTTGACCAAGAAGAGTTGAACATGAGAGAAATGCACTTTTCATAAACGTTAAGTAAACAAGGGGAAAAGGTAGTATAAATGTAAACAACATTAGTATAGTACTTTAAAATGTTCAACGTATTCCATATGTATTTAATTGGCTTCACTGCAACAGTCCTTTAAGGCAGTGGTCCCCAGATGTTCTTGGACTACAACTCCCAGAAGCCTTCACCACCACCTCTGCTGGCCAGGATTTCTGAGAGTTGAAGTCTAAGAACATCTGGAGGCCCAAGGTTGGGGACCACTGCTTTAAGGGAATCAGGTTTTGTTGGAGGCAGAGAGATTTCGCCTGGGAGCTGGCCTCGAAAGCTTTAGAGTTCAGTTCTCATAAGGCTCACCTCACATGGCCAGTAGTGAGACCCAAACATCTGGGGGGTTGATGTAAAGGTTAGCACGGTACTAGATTCACTACTCAAACATTGCTGGTTCTTTAAAAAAATAAATACAATACACAGTTTAGGATTCTTTTTCTACCTCTTTTATCCAGGGTTGAAGAGCATCGCATTTCAAGAATTGCATTCATCTATTTCCTGAGCATACATCACATTCTGTTCCTGTATTGCTAACCACTAATAATGAATGTCATTATACAGTTTGCTGACATAATGCTAATGGAGCTGAGCAATAGAGTACCTCACTCCCAGATTTTGCGGTGAGGGTCACACTAGGATCCATGAGTTAATTGCTTGTGCGTATCGAGCTGCGAATGTTTGATGTAGCTTATTATTCTAGAGATTTTGAGGTTATGATTTTCAGCTTTTTTTAGGTATGCCCACTGTAGGCTAAGAATGCATTGGCAATTTGAACTATCCTTCAGTTACAGTAGCATAAATATTTGGGCAATTTGATTAAATAACTTGTAACTTTCTGTTGCCTTTGCTTTCAACATTTGCTTTTAAAATGTGCCAGGAATTTGATAAGATCTTTGTAACAGTGTTTAAAAGATCGAATCTTTCATACTTTGTAATTGAATACAAATCAGCTTGTCCTTTGGCATTCCTGAAAATGTAACTTCTGCATATTTGGAGCAGTCTAATAAAGTACAACTACTAATATTTTCTGTTGCTGGTTTTGATTAATCAATTCGTTCTGGAGTCCTCTACATTTCAATTGCAGAAGAAATCTTGTGTCGTTCAGTGGGGCTTACGCCTGCAGAAGAGTAAACGAGGGGAACAGCCTTGGCGAGCAAACCTCAGCACGTTGGCTCAGAATGAATTCCAACTCAGTGGAACATAATCCCAAACCTGGATAGGATAGCATTGTAAAGATGGCTACAGAATATCGGAGCATCCTTCAAGAGCCTTAGGGAGGAATCCTTGCGATCATTTATTTTGGTTACATAGGCAGCAAACTCAAAGGTGACTTGTGATCAGGACAGGATTCACATACCCCAATTTTGGGGTGAAGAGGCTCCCTGTTCAACCCACAAGCCACCCCTGTCTATACCCCAGAATCTACTATTCAGAATCTACTATTTTGGCCATAATATATGGCTACAACTGAGTTCAGAAAAAGGATTCCAGTTAATGTTTAACATGCCAGTTTCCATTACAGTATTATCACTAGTAAACAGGCATATTTATTAATTTCATGGCCTCTCCCAATTTGAAGAGACCCTTGTCCAGCAGGCCGAGGCAAAGAGGAAATCACAAGAGCAGCAAAACCAGGGAGCCGAACAGGGGACAGATTGGATTTGTCTTCTGTGTGGAAGAGATTGTCACTCTCGAATTGGTCTCCTGAGCCACACTAGACGCTGTTCCAAGTCCTCCATACAGAGCACGTTACCATAGTCTTTCGAGACTGAAGGATGCCTACTAATTTATACACTGCATTTGTCAAATTGCTGGGCTGTGCTTTGGTCATGATAAAGCAATAACAATGATGATAGAATCGGAATCTATCCAGGATTCCCAGTGTGGTGTAGTGGATAGAGAGAAGGACAAAGACTTTGGAGAAGAGGGCTCAAATCCGTGTTCAACCATAGAAACTCACTGACGAACTGGAATTGGTAAAAACACTCCTTTAAAGATCCCATTTACCTTGAAAGTCTTATTAGGGTCACTATAAGACGGTTCCGACTTGACAGCACAGAACACACACATAGATATACACCCAAGCTGATTGAAATTTCAAAAAAAGGAAACAACACTTAAGAAGCAGGGAAGAGCTATTTGAGCAATGACCATGGTTTATTCAGGAAGTAGAAGAGGAGCAGTTTTCATGATGCATCGTTTATTTTTGTCTTATTTCTAAGATTGCATAACTGAGCCAGGGTTTGGTGGCATCCCTTTAAGAGCGAAAAGCGAAGTCATGAGTGAGGCGGTTCAGCTTCCAGAACATTGTTGAAAGCTGGGATAGAGGCGTCTTTTGTCACTCACTGCATTACAGCCACACGTCGTAAAAATGTTGGGTTTGTGAACCAAAAAAGAATTGCCGTTGATTAAAGGAGTGGCTGGAGGGAGTCCTAAGGAAGAGATGGGACGAACCAGGACAGAGTCACAGTGGAACAATAGCTAGCTCTGGACACCTTTAAATTCTTACATGAATGGTTTTTATTGTGGAAATAAAGTGTTCAGGTGTGAATCTCCCTGTAATATCCTTATTACGCCATCAGCTCTTGGAAAGGGAAACGATCTTAATCTTAGAACTGAAAAGCTGGAAGGGACTCTATGGATCACAGAGGCCAGCCCCTTGCCAAGGAGGCCCAGTGGGGGAATCGAACTCCCAACCCCCAGCCTTGAGTGTGCAGGGGGTTGGAAAGGACTCTTAATTCCAGGATATTTTGGAGGTCACTCATTTCTCAATTTCTAAATTTCCTAAGTTTGATTTGATGTGACAGCATAGGAGAATAACAACACTTCCTGCTTCTGCCCTGGGTAGAATATTAAATCAGAAATGAGTAAAGGGCAGGAGTGTTTCCTACCATTTTACAAAGGCTACTGTTAGCTATTTGATCATCTTAACAACACACCTAGAGCAACACAACATTCATGAAAGGAAGAGTAGACGGAGATTTCCCATGCTACATGAGTAAAGGGCAGGAGTGTTTCCTACCAGTTTACAGAGGCTACTGTTAGCTATTTGATTATCTTAACAACACACCTAGAGCAACAAACAACATTCATGAAAGGAAGAGTAGACAGAGATTTCCCATGCTAGAAGGAAAACGACAAGAACTGTAGGAAGCATCGTTGGCTGTTTCTCTACCTTTTAAAAATATGTGGATCAGAATACAAAAGATGAGCCCTTTGATTGCATCCTGCAACTGTCTGATCGCACTCTGGTTTGAACTCAAGGGTACTTGCTTTGAATTTCTGCTTGGCCATGGAAATGGGATGGCAGTAGTAAAACTAATTCTTAAATAGCTCACCTACCATAAATACCCTGTTGTTGTTATGTGCAGTTAAGTTGCCCCCAACTTCTGGCAACCCTATGAATGACCAGTCCCCAGACTGTCTTGTCCTCAGTAGCCCCACTCAGCTCTTGGAAACTCCAGGCTAGGGGTTCTTTGAGGGAGTCAGTCTGTCTCATCTTTGGATCTCCTCTTTTCCTGCTGCCTTCCACCTTTCCAACACGATTGTCTTTTCCAGAGAATCCTGTCTTCTCAGGATGTGCCCAAAGTCTGTTAGGTTTGCTGTAAGTCCGATGAAACTTGATAGCACAGAATGACCCTCCTTTGAAGGCAGAGGCTCTTCTCGTGCATCTCAAATGAGAAAGAGTTTTAGGTCTATACAAAAAAAAGGAATGCTAAGAAAATGATTAGACAATGCTAAGAAAATGATAAAAAAAAATCAGGCTTGATTCATGGACATTCCTTCTGATCTCACCTTGAGCTTCATAGAAGGGAGTAAAAAGCAAATAACTTAATCGGAGCCCAAATGGAATCTTCTAGAAAACAGTTGGCGAGTGGCAGTTGCTAGTCAGAACTCTGAGGCTGATTAATCAGGTAGGGTAGAAGAAAGGCAAGGGGTTCTCTTGGGAGGAAAAAAAATACTTGAAGAAAACAGGTGAGTCTGTAAGAAATAGGATAGGAAACCAAGAGGGCTTTTTTTTTTTTGAAAAGATGACCAACTTCGCCACTAGACAATCTAGAGCCGTGTAATGTTTCCAGATGGAAGGATCATTTTTTTGCTTTGTGCCTTCTATTCTCTACTGTAAATTTAAACACATTTGAACTGTTTATGAGTATTAAATCCATTTATGATTATTCAAAACACAACTGATTGACATAGGCATATATTCTATCACATAATGATCCCAGTCTAAGCTCTTATTTAAAAACCAACTGGCCTATTTCTTACTGTTTCTCATTTTACGAGATCTTTGCTGATCTAGTATAGCAATATAGGGAATATATTTGGGTGTACAGTTTCTCTGATTCAAATTCCAGGGCAATCCTTAATTGTCAGTCCTGAATTAAGTGACCCCAGAATCCTTTGTCCCCTGTGTAAAATGGGAATAATGATTATAGCATACCTCGCCATCAGGCCAGAAGTAAAGCTAAAAATGTAGGATGTTACAAAAATATAACAGGGCTTTTTTAAAAACAACAGTTCTTCCTTTTTATTACTTAGTTTTGCAACTGTTCCTGGAGTAGTTTCAGCATTGCCATCTGCTTTATAGATCGATAATTTAAGTTTTGTATTGTTTTCCTCTGCATTTTCACATTGCGGCTGGAATCCTGTTGCATCATTACGCAGGCAGAAGGCAAAGGGTGTAAACTTTCAGCCGTTTTTTTGCTGGCAAACAGTTGCCCCTATTGGAATTCCTGAGCATGTATGAAGGTGGCAAGTGCAAACTCACACCACAACCCGAAAGGCGACTAATTGCCAACTAGAAGCAACTGAATGACGTGCAGTTTGCCTTCTGCATAAGTAACAAAGCAACAGGATTTCAGCCTATATATTATAAGTACTTGTAAATAAATTCATATATATCCATAGGTATGGAAGAAGTAAAATGTATATTTAGAAATAATTCAAAGGAAGGCCTCCACAGTCATAGAACATAGGTCATCCTACTGTGGTCTAGTATTTTCTCACATAGCTACCTCCCAAGCTTTATTGCGCTTCACAACTATGATCAACATTTGTTCTCATTTCTCTATCCCTCTGATAGGAAAAGTTTATATTGACAATTACTATAATTTTATTCTTTCCAGCGTCATGTCCACATCCACCAGCAAAAACCCCTCTACATCCTCACTGATTTCTGTCAATGAGGGGGACAACAGTCCAGTCATCCCCAGTTCTTCCGACGCTTCGTGGGAGCTTCACGCCGACGACTTCACCAAAGAATTATCTTGCAGTCTGTGTCTGGAGCTCTTTACGGAGCCTGTTATTGTACCCTGTGGCCATAACTTTTGCAAACGTTGTCTGGAGGCACTATGGGAGAAGAAAGGGATTTTCTGTCCAGAATGCCACGCCAGTGTGCCAGACCAAAAGTACATCGTAAACAAAGCTTTGGAGAAAATGGCCGATAAGATTAAGACTCTCCATGTGGGGTGCAGGCAGCAGAAGTGCATTGAACACAGTGAACCTTTAACCCTCTACTGGAAGCCGGAGGGGAAGCTAGCTTGTTTCACTTGTCGAGAAACTCAGACGCCCAGAGATCAAAGCACCCAGTTTCTTCTCATTCCAGACGCAGTACAGATCTATACGGTAACTAACACACCACACAAGTTCAAAATGAAGGAAATCATCTATTGATACAGGAGAGTTCACACTTTTTTAAAAAATTAAAAAGTCCTATTGATTTCAGTTAAAATCAGTGGAATTTGCACATGCTAAAAGCTGGCACATGGGACGTGGTGGCGCTGCGGTCTAAACCGCAGAAGCCTGTGCTGCAGGGTCAGAAGACCAAGCAGTCGTAAGATCGAATCCACGCAACGGAGTGAGCGCCCGTCGCTTGTCCCAGCTAAAAGCTGGCACATGTAATCCCCACTGATTTTATCTAAAATCAAGAGGATTAAGATTTAATGGCTGAAAAAGATTCTCCCGTCCTTCACAGCTACTAATCTTCTCCTTTGTGGAACTTCACCATTCACTGGCAAACAAGTCGAAAAACATAGTTCTAAGCATCCTACACCATTAATTCATGCTGAGGATCTCCCTCCTTTGTTTACAAGAACGTGGTTGCGGCAGTTTTCTCCAATCTGGTGTTTCCAAATGTTAAGAACTACAAATCCCAGTTTCGAGCTAGCAGAATTTTTGAATCTGGACAGGGCCTTCCATGAAGAAGCAACCCATCTGGAAGACATGAAGTTGAGGTGGCTAGTTTAGAGTATACCCCTGTGTTATTACCAGTGAAGTTTATCTAAGATCTCCCTCCTTTGTTTACAAGAACGTGGTTGCGGCAGTTTTCTCCAATCTGCTGTTTCCGAATGTTAAGAACAACAAATCCCCCAGTTTCCAGCTAGCAGAGTTTTTGAATCTGGACAGGGCCTTCCAGCAAGAAGCAACCCATCTGGAAGGCATAAAGTTGAGGTGGCTAATTTAGAGTATACCCCTGCATTATTACCAGTGAAGTTTATGTCCCACTCAAGTGTTTATACAATTCTTTTATGCGGCCAATAAATTAGGTGCGTCCCTCTATCTTACCAACATGCCAGGCAAAGAATAACATTATTTTTGACATTCCATTTACAGGAAAAACTGCTCATGCTGAGAATTCAGCTCAGATCCATCCTGGTGAAGCTGGAAGTTTTGAAGAATGCCCAAGAAGAGAAGATTAATAGTCATAAAGTGGGTAGCATTTATTCATCAGAGCCCTAAAATAGTATCTTGTCATTAGTATTATTGAGGAAGATAGACTGAAAGAGCGCATTGGGAAAGAAAGAAAAAAAAAGAGTAAAAATGAAATCATTATAATAAATACATTTCTGTATACACTTCCTGTGTTTTCAGAGTGCTGATGACTACCTAGTAGTCTATGAAAGCTACATCGTATTTATTTATCTACAAATAACCTGTGCAATATTGGAAGAATAGTCAGGTGATGCGGGGTCAGGGCAGGTAATATAGACATACTTTGCCTACAGTAATAATCTTATATTGAGCTTTATTTTGTCATGCCCACTGTTAAAAGGAAAACAACGTTATTGCATTTTTTTCCCTAATTGTTACAATGCAGGTAATAGTCTGGACCAGTGATTCTCAACTTTCAGCCTCCAGATGTCCTTGGACTACAACTCCCAGAAATCCTGGCCAGCATAGCTAGGGGTGAAGGCATCTGGGAGTTTTAGTCCAAGAACATCTGGGGACCCAAGATTGGGAACCACTCCCCTAGATTGATTCAGCTGCTAGATTGCAATTTGCTTTGTCCAATCATTTTTCTTATTCTAGGAGAACAAATTGCAACTTCAGTACCATATATCCTTGGAATTCCTAAAATTGCACCAGTTTCTTCATGGCAAGGAGAAAATGTTGATCAATAAGTTAAAGGAAGAGGGTGAAATACTCCTCCAGGAAATGGAAGGAAATCTAAACAAAATCCAAGACCGATCTCAAAACGCTAAGGATACTCTGGTCTGCATTCAGGCTCGGCTGTACCAGCACAATTCTGCTGGCTTCTTGAAAGTAAGGTTTATATATTTGGCACTACACCGTTGTTTGGAATACTGTTGATGCATTCATTCCAGGGCATTGTAGAGTCTGGGACCAGCAAAGGCCATCGGCTTGGCATCAGGGAATAGCCCACATGACTGAGGGAGGATTTAGGGTTCCCCACCTGAATTTGCTTTAGCTTGACCACACAGGAGTGAGCAGGGAGAGAGACAGAAATTGGCAATCCACCTTGTTCGCAGCTTCCTAAGATAGTCATCCAGAGCTACCTGAACAAGCTGGAACCAAGGCTGATTGATAACTCACATGAACTGCCCATCTGCCTTATCCACCCAGATCTGGGTTGATGTCTTTGGCTCACCCATGTTGTGAAACTGGAACAGATTTGTTCTACAGTATTTTTATACTTTATTATCATTTTTGTTGTTTGATTTATTGTTGCTCTTTGTTTCACCTTAATGGTTGTTAACGGCCCAGAATAGTTCTTTGCACTAATTGGGTAGTGTAAATGAATGAATGAATGAATGAATGAATGAATGAATGAATAAATAAATAAATAAATAAATAAATAAATAAATAAATAAATTGATCTCCCTCCCTTTTCTTCTCTCTGACAGGGCATAAAAGCTTTTGTAGAAAGGTAAGTGTAAGTCTGTAAGAAAGAATTTTCAAACCATTATAGCAGACCTGCTTTAGTAATTTGTAACACAAGACACAGATTATTCACCACTTCATAGATGAAGGAGACTGAGGGAAGCCAACGCCCCTGGGCATTGCTCCATGTCCCGGCCACACCTCTCAGACTATTCCATATTAGTCTGAGTGGGGTCTGTGTGATTATACAAGCAAGACAGGTCGGTTCCAACTTGGTGTAGGGAAGTAGTATTCTGTATCTACTATTTCCCTACACCAAAGACTGGGTTGCATGTATGTCCATGCCAAATGAATGGGGAAGGTCCCACATTTTTAATACCCTCATTCTTTGAACTTCCAACAGATCCTGTGTAGCTGAACAGGGCTAACAGTTTTGAACCCACACCATATGTAAGTTAAGGTCAAAGTAAGGGAGAATGCATATTCCTTTTAATTAACCCATCTTCCCTCCAGTATTTCAGTTTTCTCACAAATACCATCTGTCTGGCAAACCAAGCCCATGCTTACACTAAATGCAAGGCACAGAGGTGAGAAAAAGCCATGTGATATGACAAACAGATGTCTTTCACCACTTGAGGGAGCACCTCTTCTAAGTATTTGTTAAGCATATACAGTAGTCTTGTTTTATCTAAAGATGATCTAATACAGCCATAACACACCTCTTCTAAGTATTTGTTAAGCATATAGTCTTGTTTTATGTAAAGATGATCTAATACGTTTAGAAAGAAACAGGGCTTGGTGGTTTCAGCCATAATGTTAAGCCATAGTTTAAAATTGCTACAGCTTGTGGTTAGCTGAGACTAGTGGTTTCAATTAATGTTGTCTCGATCAACTCCTGTGCTCAATAAGCCATAGTTTAAAATTGCTACAGCTTGAGACTAGTGGTTTCAATCAATTTTATCTCGATCAACCCCTGTGCTCAGTTAGGGATACTTAGCATAACGCATGAGCATGTTCCCCATCACCCAAGTTAAAAACAAAGATAGGAAAAAATGATAATAAGTAGTTTACTTAATAATTATGAAGGCAAGACTTCTTGATGCTTTGGCTTCAAATAGGGTTATTTAGGTTCTGCTTTAGGTAGTGAATTGTATGAGTCTAGCATAAGATACCCAGTGTGGCGCAGTGGATAGAAAGATGCACTAGGCCTCTGGAGACCAGGGTTCGAATTCCGCTCAAGCCATGGAAACTCACCAGGTGAGTGGAACTGCTTAAATATCTCACTTACTTTGAAAGCTCTATTAGGGTTGTTATAAGTTGGTTCCAACTTGACAGTACTTAACAACAACAGCAACAACTCTTTGATGTGATCTACAGGTGTAGGGTCACAGATACATGAACTGTTGCTTGGAAATAGGGCTTTTTCTCCCTTAAAGCTTTATTCCTACTCATGTGAAGGCTAATTCAGGAAAAATACCTCACACGCCGTACCTGCTCAAAAGAAGAGTTTCCCCATATGTCAGGACATGTTCCTAAATGTGAATCTTGGCCACATGTTAAGAGTGGGGAAAAAAAACACACACCTGGACCTGCAGGTAAATCTCTGCATAGTCTGCAGTAGGTCAGCAATGATACATGAATCTCCGTTTTTTTTTAAAAGCAGTAACAAAGCAACTACTGTTTCCTCTTTTCTGTATTAAATTGCCCAAAGGAAGAGTATTTGAGGTAGCTTAGCTAGATACAGATCTGTGTCTAGAAAGAGATTACAGCCACCTTACTTTGCTTAATTATCACGTGATTTCCGTGGGCCGAGAAGGAATTAATTGAATTTTATGTTATAAGTTGTGGGAGGCAACAGGAAAGGAGGAAGACCAAATAGGAGAGGGACTGGCTCCCTAAAAGAAACCACAGGCTATGCAAGGGCTGGTTGATAGATCTCAGGATTCTTTGAAAAAAAAAAGTAGATCCAAAAAACCCTGATATCCAACACTAGCCCATACAGGCCATTATAGAATACAGCCACCTTACTTTGCTTAATTATCACGTGATTTCCGTGGGCCAAGAAGGAATTAATTGAATTTTATTCTGGGAAAGGTGGGAGGCAACAGGAAAGGAGGAAGACCAAATAGGAGAGGGACTGGCTCCCTAAAAGAAACCACAGGCTATGCAAGGGCTGGTTGATAGATCTCAGGATTCTTTGAAAAAAAAGTAGATCCAAAAAACCCTGATATCCAACACTAGCCCATACAGGCCATTATAATATATTTATTTAAGATTTAAAAAAAAAAACCCAGGCACATTATTTCCTACTAACTGGAATGTGAATTCTACGCAGGATGGACCAAAAAGCTGAAAATTCATCTCCCTGTGAATTAGTGAGCAGGAGTCTGAACCCAGGAGAGTTCAAGGGGCCCATACATTACGCGGTATGGAAAGAAATGAAATCTATCCTTAGCCCAGGTAAAAACACGTCCAGTTCTGATTGTTAGTTTTTAAAATCTGGATTTATTAACGGCATAGACGTGCTATATAATGAGGCCAGGCAGAGGTTTATTTCTGCTTCTGTTTTTGCCTCAGTGAAATGAAACGTCTGATTTACCCAGATGGAATGTTTGTTCCCCGATATATATCTGATTAGATATCCAGCGTGATGTAGTGGAGAGAGTGGCGGACTAGAAGTCCTGGGTTCGAGTCCCCACTGAACCATGTGGAGTTGATCAAATCGCTCCTTAAATATCTCCCTTAACTCAAAAGCTTTACAGTGGTGCCTCGCTAGACGATGATAATCCGTTCCACTGAAATAGCTGTTTAGCGAAATCATTGTCTAGCGAAAAGCATTTCCCCATTGGAATGCATTCAGACCTGTTTAATACGTTCCAATGGGGAACAATTGTCGTTGTCTAGCGAAGATTGGCCATAGGAAAGCCACTTTGCGAACCGCCAATCAGCTGTTTAAATCACTGTCTTGCGAAGCTTAGATCCCAAAAACCTGTTTGCGAGCGCGGAGGGAGCTGTCAAAATCGTAGTCTAGCAAAAATTGGTTTGTGAAGCAGGGACCAGACATTGTCCAGTGAAATTCCCCCATAGGAATCACTGCTTTGCGAATTGCTATAGCGATAGCAAAAAGCCAATGTCTAGCGAAAAATCTGTCATGCGGGGTAACTGCCTAGCGAGGCACCACTGTATTAGGAGGGGGACCCACGGCTGCAAAGCACTGCATCATATACCACATTCCTGCAACGGGTCCTTGTTTATTGTGCGTTAAACCGCCTTGCTTCCCGTGCTACCTTAATTATGCTCTTCTTTATTAACCAGACATTTCCTGCATGACTCTGGACCCGAAAACAGCACATCCGAACTTAATTCTTTCAGAAGGATTGACCAGCGTGAGGCACAACGATGCCAAGAAAGCCCTGCCAGACCTCCCAGAAAGGTTTGACTGCAGTGTTTCCGTCCTGGGCGCGACCGGATTCACTTCCGGGAAGCACTATTGGGAAGTGGACGTGCAGAAGAAGACCAAGTGGACTTTGGGGGTGGTCAGAGAGAGCGTCAACCGGAAGGGGAACTATCCACTGTCCCCCAAAGATGGCCACTGGCTGATAAAGCTGAGGAATAAGAACGAGTTCAAGGCTGTCGATGTCCATCCCAAAGGCCTCACCCTGGCCAAGAATCCCAGTTCAATTGGGATATATTTGGATTACGAAGGTGGCCAGGTGTCCTTTTACGATGCCAGCCAAATGTCCCACATCTATACTTTCACGGACACTTTTACAGAGAAACTCTACCCGTACTTTTGCCCGTGTTTGAATGATGCTGGAGAAAACAGCGAACCGCTGCGGATTATTAGGTTTAATATTTAGATGGAACTCCCTCTGAAAAGCATGACCTGAAGCTGTTATGGACTACAGGCAGATAACGCGTAGGAACTGGGTCCAGGTTTTGATGAGAAAAGGCAGCTGATGCTCTGGGACTGCTGTTGGAATCTAGCCCCGCCGTGTGATTCAAGTGTATTCATTCCAGTGCTGGTAACGATCCTTTTTTCCTTCCAACCACTCCGCTATGAAGATGGTTATGCCATTCTGTCTGGTCTTGGAAAAGGGGCAGAAATCCACCCTGCTCCAACTCCCATAAGTAGCATCACATCATAGATTCATGGAATCCTTACATGGGTCATTCCGAAACATTACATTAGGCAGGAGCAGAGTTTACTCCATGGGAGCTGTTTAGAAAGGGTGTGTGTTTGTGTGTATGCCCCACACATCTGCCCACCATTCCTTAAACAGCAAACATTTTAAAAAAGTAATATTTTTGTTCTTTTTAAGTTTGTACTTTCGGTTTCTCTGCGTCTCCTTGTTTGCTTTGTATTTTGTCTTTTCTTTTTTTTATCTAAAAAACAATTTTTTTTTTAAAAAAAATCTAAACCAGTCAACTCAGGTTCATTTGGCAAAGGAAATATAGGGCCTTATCAGTATTATTTCTTAGCAAATATTTAACTTAACAGTCACAGGGGTAGGATTGTGGTGGGATTCACCGTTTAGTGAGGTGGTCAGCTTATTCAAAACAATAGCAGAAGTCAGATAAGCGAATATACTGCAAGTGTGACGTTTGAGAAATAATAACTTTGTGCAAAGGACTCATTCCCTAACAACAGATGTATTTGTGCCTTCTTTTGTATTGGTTGGATGAAAGAAAATAAAAGAACATTAAAGTTGAATTTGCAGCATGTTGACTCACTCCTGAAGCAAAATCAGAAAGAATTATTTCTGAAGGGCAGATGCTCATGTCTAGAAATCATTCTTGCCTATGTTCTACATTCAGTAAGCTATTCATTGCAACAGATCTCATCATCATCATCGAATTGCAGAGGTGATAAACTACTGTAAACAGAAAATCAAGCCCAACATTACTCTTCTTTTGTAAGAAACTTTAAAGTAGATTTTCTTGCATACTGTCTATTTGCCCCATGGCTAGCCAATGTGATTGAACATGATAGGGCAGGATTTATCACTAGCACACGATTCAGCTCTTCCTTTTAAATATTTGGTTTTTTCTTTTCCTGTCCAGGAATTCCAAACAACTCCAGCTGACTGGGTCTAGGCAGTATTTTAATTCCCCACCACGCTGACCATCTGGGCAATTGTGGGAAATTTTAAAAATTAAAACACTGTTACTGACACTTTGGCTCTGCTTGGAAGGGTACTGCTGCCCTCCAGACCCAGTTAAACCCAGTTAAACCCATCAATGGAGTAAAAGCCATGTTCAAAGGGCATATTGCTGATTTCCCCCTCCAACCTTGAACCTGGTCACGATTAACCGTGAACACATTTAAATTCTGAGAGGAACGGTGGAACATGTTTATTGTGGAAACAAATTGTTTAGATGTGAGACTGCCTGGGTTATCCTGCGTGTATAAACCACCATCCGCTCTTTGGAGGAAAACCAGGATATCTATTTTGTGGCTTCCTGTGGTTTGTGTGTGTGTACACAAGCCGGCATTCATTCATTCATTCATTTTTATATACTGCTCCATGAGCACAAGCATTATCCTGAGCAATTTATGGGCCCCCGTCACAACATTATTTATTTATTTATTTATTTATTTACTTACTTACTTACTTACTTACTTACTTACTTACTTACTTACTTACTTACTTACTTACTTACTTACTTACTTACTTATTTACTTATTTATTTATTTATGGCACCCGTTACAGACTGTGGCAAGAAGATCGATCAGTCGGACATAAAATAACAGCCAAACCAGCCGACGTTAGGGGGGTTTACCATGATGAATAAAACAATAACAAAAAGGCCTTTAAAAACCATACAGTGATTTAATCATGAATATAAATCGCCCTATAAAGTTTTTTTTAAAAAACCACAGACAGCCTCCAGGGCCGCCTGTGGTTAAAGGCACCTTTAGAGGATGTCTTCTGGATGCGCTCGTGACATGGTCAGAGACTATGTGTGTGCAACATGCAAGTTTCACTGTATCAAAGGGAGAGGGGGAAAAAGGCGGGAAAATGGATCCTTTCCCAGCTGTCCTTTTGCCTCAGGGCAAGATGTTCCAGGGCTGCAGCGCCTGGTTCTCCCAAAGCGTCTGCCCGGACCTCTGCAGCCTTTGGGGTGAGGGAGGATCTCCTTTGGAGGGGGAAACACCTCCATGGCCCCTCAGCGGGAAGGGAACATTGGGGGGCTGACCCCCACATCCATGGGATGAGGGAGAGACAGCTCTCTTTCTTTCCAAAGACAATATTCTGATTTTCCCGCTCAAGGGTGACAAACAAAATTATACTTGAAGCAGCCTTTCTGCCTGTCTCTCCATCCATGCCCCACAAACACTGATTTTTTGGGCGAATTACTTGGGGGGGGGGCGTGTGGTGGTGGTCGGTAAGTGCCGTTCATTCCTGCCTGAAGGAATTTAAACCTAATTTTCACAGGCGTAGGGCTAGTTCTTGGCACCTCTGGCTGGTGAACAGGTTCTTTGTAGCCATCGGTATCGGGTGGTTTAGGTCTATATCTGGCTGGGGAGTCTGAGGTGGGGAGTTCGAATCCCCACTGTGGCCATCTTGGAGGGGGGAACTGAGCCAGCCTGGGTAGCCTTGGACCAGCTGCACCGTCCCAGGGATCCCCCCCTCAGAAGAAGGGAAGAAGATTAACCACTTTTTAGGACTTGGAAAACCCTGGAAAGGGTCGGTAGAAGTCAGAACTGACTTGACGGCACATTATGATTATGATTGATTGATTGATTGATTGATTGATTGATTGATTGATTGATTGATGATTGATTGATTGATTGATTGATTGATTTCTACCCCGCCCCTCTAGACAGAGTCTACTCAGGGCGGCTTACGAACAGTTATAAAACATCATAAAATAATCATCATAAAACCATCACAAAATTAAATCAACAAATTTAGAAGTTGTTTAGAAGATGATTATCGTTCTTATTATAGAGAGGTAGCCATGTATATCACTTCAGCGGCAAAGAAGACAGAAACCTTCATTTTGATCCCTTTCCTTCACACAGGCTTTACAATTGCTTTCATGTTTAAACAAACAAACAAAAAAAGAGTTGGTCAATCTTGATCGTCCCAGCCGGCGGTTTCAAGCGCTTTGGGGGCAGCCCAAGACCGGCTGCTGCCTGAGGCCAAGGATGAGAGGGGTGCTTCCCATAAGATGGCTGGACATAGGAGTTTTCTTTAACACTGATGGGAAAATACCCTCCCAAAAGTCTATTTTTGAAAGTTTGGGGGCAAGGGGTGTGTCAAGAGGAAAGAGCTATCGGTGTTTATTATGGTCCCCCAACATCTGCCATCGGAAGGAATCACTTCTTTTTACTTGGAAGAAGTACTTTTTTTGTTGCTGGAAAGGACAACATGTTCATGAGGTTAAAAACAATAAAATAAACATTTGTAGTCACAAGAAGAAGAAAGAGGAGGAGTCGTAGAAGCATGGACGCTCTGGGTCCACCATGCTGTGCTAGACCAAATGCTGAAACTGGCCTCTTTGCCATTGACCTGTCCCCGTTCGTTTTTTTGAACTGATGTCAGATGTTTCCTCATCATCCTCCCCTTCTCAGACTAGCTGAGAAGATCTGCCAACAGAGACATAACAGTCCATGCATGTGATGGGCTGCAGTCTCTGGATGCTTTTGTAGGCAATTTCCCCCCTCCCTTAAGATGACCCAAGACTTGGATGGTTTGGATGCAAAAGACTAACATGGTGACCTCTTGCAAATGTCAGGATCATCCTCCGCGGGCCCCAGGCTGTGAAGCCTTTAGATCCAGCCCCAGTTACACTGATGGGTGTTCCCAACAGTTGTGACATTCAGAAGTCCAGAGCCTTTGAACCTATAGCTTGGGATGTGCCAAGGGGCTGTCCCCCCCCCACCTGCTCCATGTTTGCAGACAAAATGACAACCCTTATCGGTTTCTTTCCACCCCCTCAAAACTGTCAGTGGCTGAAATCTTGTTTGCCCTGCATAAGGCTGATGACCTCATCAATCAGTGGCAATGACATAATCAGCCATGGTGCTCCATAAGTTGATAACACTGCACACAGGGGATATGCTTATGAGTCATTAAATTCTCTCTTTCAAAAGCAAGCATACCATATAAAGAACCATGTTGTCTCCCTGTGGTGTTTTCCTGCAGTTGCTGAAGGAGGAAGGATCACAACTCAGAAAGCTGCTGATTACCTTTTTAGCAGCGATGCTTCCCACCCTGACACCAAAAGGTATGTTTTGTCACTAATTAATCGGCTCAGCCTTTATCAATACTGGTCATGGTCTGGATCTGGGTATTATACCCTATACGCCTGCTTCTGCTTCCAGTGCATATTTTCTGACTCGAAAAAAATATACTATGCTCTCAAAGGCATTTCCTCAACGAAGCCTGCAAAAAATATTTATAAACCACTGAGCTAATTCCGCTTAAAATAAAAGCTGAGACTGAACACAAAATTGGGAGACCTTTTGGTACAAAGGACAAGGGGCACTCCTTCTAGTGGTACAAAAATAACAGAGTAAATCGTAATTTGGTATTCTTTAACGTCTGCTTTGAGCCACCTTATTCCTCTGAAGTGTGGGCTCATCCTGCTTAAGAGCGAATTTAAATACTGTAACTGTGTTTGGATGTTTTATGTTTAACTTGTATAATTTCTCCTCTTCTAGAATACACAAGAGCCTAGATTATATTGAAGACCGAATTACCGTTTTCCATTCTTCTTATCTGACTGCAATAGCTAACTCTGAAATGAAACACCCCCCAGTGCCATTGGGGCATTTTCTTCTTCCACCGGCTTCTCTGCATCAAGGTATGCACATGTATGCAAACAGGTTGGGATAAGTCTCTCCCCAAATTTTGGTATTTTTTTCAAAAAATAAAACAAAATAAATAATTGTGCTTCTGCAAATCCTCCACTAAAATCAAACCCATTCCAGTAAACTGTTAAAACAGTCACAATTTCATTCAGTAGATTCACTTCTAGTGTGGATATTGTTTAGTTGCTCTTTTAATTTTTTTAAAAAAACTTTTGCTTTTACACCTGTCTGCAGGGGCTGTAAGCCGGGAAGCTGACTTCAGGGGCGGTCATTTTTTCTCCCAGATAGCTGCAATGGTCAAATTTGTACTTACGATTCCTTCATGTGTTTATTTTGAGAGAAATGATAACTGAACCCAATAGGCCACATTCATTTCAATATACAGTATTATTCATTTTGAAATTAATGCAGATAACTATTACATCTTTTTGTGTTTAATCTAGTTGTCTCATTAGCAACAGTGCTATTCAAACCGATCTGTAGCTCTTCTCCATAGCTGATTGAGGGCATTCTGATTTGGGTCTCATCTTCCAGCACTATCTCTCTTTTCATTTTAGACCGTCTCATCATAGAGTTTCCAAAGCATAAATTACCCAGAAGTGGTTTTCTCTTCCTCTCTTCCTGTGCAGTACTGTGCAGGAGTTAGCCTGAATGTCACTATGAAAGATCCACCAGTGTTACCACTCACTGCTGTTGTTGTCTGGTAGTTACCCTTCAAGAATGGCAAAGTTGCTAATCACATATATCTGGAAAAATGCCGCATTCATACAGCAACTTGAAATATACTTCCCTATCCTTTGGAATAGCTCTGCAACGGCCTCTAGTGACATTCAGTATATTACAACTTAAACTGTACTTTTTAAGTTGTTAAAAATTTAATTTCCCACCTTCTATATGTGTGTCATGAAATCATCTCTACCAGCAGTTCATTACCATTCAAATCTGCATGTTAAATTCACACTTTCAGGGTTACAATTCTTATACCATTAATTATATAATACTTTATTATACAAACTACCGAACTTTGATTGTTCGCCCCCCTGTCCATCACATGAGTATGGGGAAGTCTTGTTGGTTGGTTTCCTCTGCTTCTCAGTAGCTCAGTTTTGTTGTATTGACAGCTTTGTATGGAAATTCAAGGGAAATATGGGCTGGGATCCTGTTGATCAATTTCAAGCCATGCAACTTGAATGATGTCACCAACCACAGCAGTTTGGGGGAAATTAAATGTTTTCTATCCTCTACTCTGCAGATTCCAGAGATTATTAGGATCCTCTTTTGTCCTAAGGAAGCCTTTGGGAGCCATAAAATGGCAGAGGAAGGAGGTGCTTTAAGGTCCAAAAATCTTGGTTGATGGGACCAGCAACAGGATCAGGAGGACTAACAACAATGAATTTCGGACATTTCTGCATCTTCTTCAGAGTTAATGGGATCCTTAGAATTCCTTGGAACCTGAGGAGGGGGGAGACAGGAAATGTTTACTTCTCCCAAAATGGCCAGGGTTGATGATGTCATCAAAGTTATGCTGCATAAAGCTGTGCCACAGGATTTCATCCACAGTCACTGATGGCCATTGTGTTGAATTACCTACTAAATCTCTGCTGCATTGCTTGGTTGTTGCTGTTATGTAGTTGTTTTCACTTTGGGTGTAAGTAATTTTTTGGTTTGTTTTGGTTTTGCATTTTCTACAGAAATTAGAGACAAAATTGGTTGCTTTATATGGGACCAAATATCTAATACACCAAAGCTGCAGGTAAGAAGAACCTCTTGAATGCACATGACTTCAGTTTTGTTATTTGTTCCGTTAATGCTGCTATTTAAGATATTTGTACACTGAATGTTTATATAATCATTTTCAGTACAGGGAGCAAATGTGCCAGAAATAGCCAGCTAGGGAGTAGGGATTGAATGCAGCAAAATTATTTAAGGAGCAATTTGACTACCATCATAGAATGTTCAAGCTGAAACTATTTGCCCTGAGACAGTCAGCAAATATTATAATGTCCTGGGGAATCTTTCATCTTGACAATGTTTTGTTTGTTTGGAGCTAACTAGAGGATGTGACCACTATTATTTGAAATTTCTTTTTGTAGTGCTCCCCGATTCTCTCCTTCTGCAGAGTTGTCTCTGTTCTTGTTTCCACCTACCTACCTACCTACCTACCTACCTACCTACCTACCTACCTACCTACCTACCTACCTACCTACCTACCTACCTTCCTTCCTTCCTTCCTTCCTTCCTTCCTTCCTTCCTTCCTTGGCATTAGGCAGGAAGGATGGTGAGCCTGTCTCTTGCTACCACTGATAAAGGTGCAACAGTCATCTAGCCAGTAGTGAAACACGAGAGTAAAGGCCTGTCTACACTGGCATACGGATATGATATACTGTATAGATTGCTGGTGGCATGGTTTGTGGACCTTGGCTGCAGGAGTTTCTATGATTTGTGGCATGGTTTGTGGACCTTGGCTGCAGGTGTTTCTATGATTCATCCTTCCCCTTTAAGAGCTGTTGTGCACCTTTCTGGTCCAGCAGTAAGGCATGCATTCTTTTTGGCACACTTGTTTAGCCTGAAGATAGCAGCTTCTGCCATTGTGACTGCAGATTCCGAGGGAGGAGAGAGAAGATGGGGGGAGGACAAGGGAAGGGAAGCGGGGAGGGGGAAAGGAAGAAAACGGAACAGTATTGACAGAGGGAGAGAGGGGTGACATTAAAAAAATCCACTTCCCCTGACCCTCTGCAGACTGCTTAGTTGACAGCTGATCAGGCTTGAAGGAGTTGTTTACCATTTGGATGGGTGGAGCACACCAAAGTGCACATCATTCCTTCCCTTCCCTGACCTCAACAGACCTTTTGTGGCAGATCGACCCCAGACTCAAAACCGTCAGTCTGGACAGTTCCATCCTAAGTCTTACATCGCAGATAGGAATCATCTGTGCACCAATATTGATATATAAATGACTGAAGTATCAGATTAACACTGATGGGGCTGGTGACCTCTTTGATAACATCGTACTGTTGGACAAAGTCTTATGCACAGCTTCAACCACAGTCATTTTGACTATCCACAGAGCGGTCAACCTGAAGTAAACAGCAGGATTGAAGAAGAAGACAAAACAAGCAAGGAAGGCCTGGAAAGAAGGTTCCTAAATGTTGTTGTTTGAGATGGCTCTGTAATTATAGGATAGTGCAATGATTAAAATCCGCCAGTAGCGGCGATCTCATAAAAAGGGTCTGTCAGTAATCCTACAGATGAGCCAAAGCCAGTTCCACCACCTCATTCTCCGTTTCTAACTTTTCATTGTAAATGGCTACTATTAGAATCTTTTCCATCAGTTGAATCATAACCATTTCGTTTTAATGTCCCAAGAGATTTATTTCAGCTTTTAATTTTAGCAGAACGAATCAGAATATAGCGAGGAGGCTCATAAAGGAAGATTTTGCTGCAGAACTGCAGTCCGTGAGTTTTAGGAAAAAGCAGCAAAATGGCTGCCGGCGTTATTTGGGCCCAGATCGCTTTGCTTCCCCGCATTGCCCTAAATGACAGCTTCGGGGCGGTTCAGGGATTCTCAGTTCTCGGGTAACAATCTCACGGAAAGGAGACGTAGCTGAACTTAAAAGATCTCACTAACATTATATGTATAATTTAAAAACAAAAGGAAATGATGTTGTAACTTTAAATAGTAATACATAGGGACAGGAACTTGAGTCGCGAGACTTTGCTGTTAAGTCGGACTTAAGGAGACTCAATTTTGGAATCCCCCCCCCCAATAACTTGGACTCAGCTTGCGACTTGAAACCGATCCACGCTCCCTTTTTTTCTGGGGTGGGGGAAGCTTGTTTTTAATAGGGACTCAGACTTGGGACTTGGTACCCAAGAGTCAGACTTGGGACTTGGGATACGGACCCAAAGACTTTCCAACACCCTTGGTAATACAATGATTTCTGTCATTACAGTGAAGACAGTCACGCTCCCAGGGCATTGGAAACAAAAAAGCAGCCGTACATTCCGCTCCAAGATTATCCAGCAAGTAATATGTTGACAGGTAAGAGGAAGGTATAGCTTAGGTGTTGCATTAAGGGCCAAAATACATAAAGCTTGGAAGAGTGGCGACTGAATACAGAGACAGCCCAAGATATTTTACCGATAATTCTCTCCCATTCAATGTACAAAATTCGTCTTTCTTCAGCGCTGGTGCTGAGGGAGACTCTTCCGCTGTGGGCTTGCTTAGGCCACAGGGTATGGCTTTTCCTCTTGTATTTCTTCTTTCTGCCACTTCAGACATCCACTCATTTTGCCTAATACTGTACGTAATAAGGAATGGGCCTGATATAGCAGCAAAACTATTTCAGAACAAAAATTGTTCATGGACAGCTCAGTGGTTTAGGTGAAGCCAGAGGTTGGGTTCTGCCTCTTTGAAAGGGGCTGGATCTTATGATTTATAGGATTCCTTCTGGCTCTGCAATTCTAAGATGATGTTTTATTTAAAAGTCAGTAGAGTAAATAAAAATCAATACCTCTCTAAGGAGGAAACTTTGTATCCCTATTTATTTTCACATTGTGTTCTTTAAGCCTGTAGTAATTTATTTATTATTTATTTGTTTATTTTATTTATAGGCCGCTTTTCTTCCGATAAGGGGACCCATGGTGGCTCACAATATTAAAAAGGATAGAAATAAACACATAATAAGTTAAACATTAAAAAAAAATTAAAACTATTCGCTGATTAAAATATCACTGATTAATTAAAAGCAAGAAAACCTTTGAAACCATCTTAACTTTAAAAAGGCATTCACGGATTAAATCATGATTGTTAAACGCCTGCCTGAAAAGATGGGTCTTCCACTGATCAAACATTATGATTTCCTCCTTCTGGCTTAGTCCTGTTTTTTTCTGGTCTTTTCTGTGTTTTAAAATGGTGTTCTGGTGGAAAATGTACATTAATTCCCATTTGTTTCCTAGGTTATGCCTCTGCTAAAGAGTTGAAAAAATTCCTTGGAGAGATACGGGATTTCATTCCTGGATTTTCAGGTGATTTGGCATACTGGATTCCAAACGACACGAATATCTTCTCTCAAGGGAAAACAATGCCAAAGTGGAAATGATATCAGCTCCTTTATTTCTCATTTTGCAATTTGAGCCCTACTCTGAATTTTGCTACTCAAAAGAACATTAAAAAGGGCTATTCTCCTATAGTCATGTGTATATCTAGCTTGACTAATTTATAACATTCCTTTGCCTTATGCCTCTTACCACTTCTAACTGTTCAATAAGTAATATTAAATAATTTAAAAATTCTTACTCTTTCGAACAAATCATACTTTCCAAACTACCAAAATTTTGCTTTGATTTCTCTCCTACGCTTGGGTTTTTGAATATAATGACAATTTCAGTATTACATCATATATACTTCCTATGAACAGAATTCTCAGCTGTTTGATGGCCTCAGTCCACATTTCAGTAACACACAGAAAAGCAGGTGACGGCCACCTCTTCCTGAAGATGTTTTCTTTTTGGTGGAGAAGGGTTGGAGCATTCAGTAACAGTAAAAAAAAACACATTACACTGATTCTATCACAATGAGGAAAACTCTTCCAACAAGCTAGATTTGTCTGTTTATTCTATTGCAGCTTGCTCAGCTCTTGAAGGTGCAAATTAGGGTGATGTGGCTAGACAGCAAGATCTATTATGTTTGATTGCACCAGAAACATTTCCTTTGCTGGGAGTTGTTGTTGTTACGTGTCGTCAAATCACCCCAGACTTACAGCAACCCAATGAATGAGCCATCCTTAGAATGTCCTGTCCTCAGCTGCCCTTCTCAGCTCTTGCAAACCCAAGCCTGTGGCTTCCTTTAGGAAGTCAGCCCATCTCCTATTTGGTCTTCCTCTTTTCCTGCTGCCATCCACCTTTCCCAGTGTCATTGTCTCTTCCAAAGAATCCTACCTTCTCATGATGTTCTCAAAGTAGGGACAGCTTCCGTTTTGCTCACTTGTTAGTCTTTCCAGCTGTGTAGAGTATCTGTACGGCTCTCCACCAACACCGACTTTCAAACAAACCACAGTGATGCCCCGCAAGACGATGATAATCCGTCCCACTGAAATCGCTGTCTAGCGAAATCATTGTCTAGCGAAAAGCAAATCGTTGTCTAGTGAAAACCGGTTTGTGAAGCAGGGACCAAACATTGTCCACCGAAATTCCCCCATAGGAACCACTGTTTTGCGAATTGCTATAGCGATCACAAAAAGTCAATGTCTAGCGAAAAAACTGTCATGCGGGGTAACTGTCTAGCGAGGCACCACTGCATTTCATTTTCTCTGTTAACTTTCTTCACTGTCCAGTTTTCACACCCCATACATGGAGGTTGGAAACATGGAGATTGGATATGGATGATCTTGATCTTCGTCTCCAGTTACACATCTTTATATTTGATTATCTTTTCTAGTTCCTTTGTTGCTGCTCTTCCAAGTCTTAATCTTTTTCTTCTTGCTTAGAGAAGAGATCCTGCTGCTCTTCCAAGTCTTAATCTTCTTCTTCTTGCTTAGAGAAGAGATCTCCTTAAAGAGATCGTTCTATCTTTCCGAGAATGACTCCTCCAAATAATAGCCCTACTATGGGATCAAACAGCTCCAGCTTAGGCACAGATGATGGCCACGTTGGAAGGCTTTTACTTAGGACTGGATTTGTATTTCCTGTAGGAAGAATCCTCACACCCAAGATCCACTAAAAAATATGAGTGTTAGTTTGTGCAACCATATCAGGCAAAACCCAAAATAATTTTTTAATTTTTCAACGTAATTGAATTTTTTAAAAAATATAGTGTTACTATTATTTTCCTTTGGGCTTTGCCTGATTAAAAAATATGATTCAATGCCGCTAGATGGGGCCCTTTGTTAAAAAACAACAACCCAACCCTGAATATAATGAGATGGGATGAGGAAAGGCACCGTGATTTAAGGGAGCAGATCAACAGCTACGCATGGTTTCATGGTATTTGTGAATAATCTCTGCATCTCATTGTGTCACTCGCTTTTAAATATTGCCCGTGGGATGAGGGAAAAAAGAAGACAGCCATTCTAAAACCGAATATTGGTCCTGAAAAGTTGAGAGTTTTTGTCTGATGAAAAGAAGACAGCCATTCTAAAACCGAATAATGGTTCTGAAAAGTGGAGAGTTTTTGTCTGATGTGATGTAGGCAATGTGTTTAAAGAAGAAAACCACCACTTTAACCCTGCAATCGTGCTGCTGTTTAATGACAGGCCCTCTGTCATTCCCACTGTTTTAGACTGTCATAATCAGCAATTATGCTTCCAGTCTTTCATGAAGATGTCCCACTCTAGCAGCTACATAACCATCCCATCAAGTGACCTTTGATCACTTGAAACCAACCTGGTTAGTCTTTAAGGAGTCACTACACACTGGCCTTTGCTTCCCCACTTGTTTCTACAGTATTTGCTGCCTCCCTTTAAATTTTGTCAATATGCTTAAACAGACTAAGGGTAGGACTACATTAGCAACACGACTGCTTGGGAAATGGATAAAATAGTTTTAGAAATGCTGTTAGAGGTCTGAGAGGGGCTTTTAACATCTGGAGAGATTTGAAGCAAAATTAGCCGCTGACTCAAAGTGGAAAAGGGAGCTGAGCCGGGTTGCACAGAATGCTCCCCTAAGCAGAGCAGGGTTTTTGGTAGGACAGCCTCGAATGTGGTTGTGTGTAAAAATATTTGAAAACACAGCAATAAATAATGCAATGACTACAATTGTCATGTGGCAGAATCTGTGGTATCCCTACTTAACCACCTGGAAAAAAATAATAATACTCCTGTTCAATAATGATGACGATGCTGTCTTATCAAGTCAGTTCTGACTTACGGTGATCTGTTTCAGAGTTTTCCGGGTAGAGAATACTCAGAAGTGGTTTACCGTTCCCTTAGGGGCATCCTCATTCTGTGCAGCTTGCCCAAGGCCACACAGGAAGCACAGTGGGGAATTGAACATGTAACCTCCAGCTCAACAGTCAGATACCTAAACCACTCACATACAAAAGTTCCAGGTCTACATAACTTCTATGTTTTGCCCAAGAGGCAGGGAGGAAGCAAAGATCTGTGAACTGTTCACAGTTCCCGACACTGTATGAGGAAAGGCCTGCAAGAAATCATTTTTTTGCTTTACACAATGAAAGAAAGAAGTCTCTCAATAATGACGAAACCAAGAGGGCCTTTCTGTTGGATGCGGAAATGTCAACAAACATCATTTCTGAATGGGCAAAGGAAAACCTGTGATTCAGCAATCACATTCCATTGAACTCTGCTCATGTACTGGGAGAGCTGTACATTCTCTCCCTTTGACGCTTACTCTCAGTTCCCGTAGTGTCTGGAAAGTGACTTATTCTGGCGATATGTACGTCGAACAGGCCAATTTTCACGTGCGGAAGTCTTGCGTTGCAGCAGCAGTTTGCCACCATTTTAACGAAGCGCTGGTTGTATTCTCGGGGGCAAAATCGGCTGCAGAGATTTGCTTCTGCGTATACAAACGAGCAGTTGGATTCCCCACGGTATTTCTTAATGGTGGAAGTTGAAACATTTCCAGGGACGGCACCAATCCCGAAACATATTACATATCTGAAAATGTGTGAGTAGACCCGGAGTGGTCTCGTGAACAGAGTGACAGACCAGGACTGAGGAGACCTGGGTTCGAATCCTGCATGGCCCTGGGAACTTACTAAGGGGACCACTTACCGTATTTTTCGCACCATAAGACACACTTTTTCCCCACAAAACAGGGGGTGGAAAGTCTGTGCGTCTTATGGAGCGAAGAAAACAGATTATATTTTCCTGTATTCTTCTCCTAAAAAATTGGTGCGTTTTATGGAAAGGTGCGTCTTATGGAGTGAAAAATACGGTAAATATCTCACTTACCTTAAAAACTCTTTTAGGACTGTTGTAATTTGACTCTGACTTGACAGCGCACAAATACACAGACAGTCCATATATAATGCCTACCTTATCTGAAACAGTAAAATATATGAGTAGCTGTGCTACAAAGGTAGCTTGCAAAAATAAGTATGTTTTCCATCCTTGTGTGTTAACCATCATCATCATCTTAGAACTTCAGAGCTGGAAGGGACCCTATGGATTATGGAGTCTAGCCCCTGTCAAGGAGGCCCAGTGGGGGAACTGAACTCCCAGCTACATATTTAAGTCACTGAACTGACCCACAATTCCTAAATGTAAGGTGTGTCCAATACAATGAAGAGCATTCCACGCAGAGATATCATCACATTATATTATTGTTCTAGCAACTGTGGAATGAACCTCAGCATTATGAAGGAGTGAAAGAAAGATAATAATCTTTCAGCTTTCCAGGTTCTGACTTGTTTGAATGTCTGGGGTCTTAAATCTCTTTGTATGACCTGCTAAAATCCACAGCATAACAGGAAAAGAGTGGAAAACACACTGGGCAAATTTCAAATGGAATCATATTCCAGAGTCTGGAAATGTAAACTCAAATGGCAAATGTGTGTTAGCATTAACAGCGCTATTCATCATTTTATACCATACACAGTATATATATAGACACATATATGCTGTATATATGAAATGGAGGTACAAAATACATACGTATTTTGTTCTGTTACCTCCATTTACAAAATATATACATACTGTATTTGAGATTTTTCTTTAAATAATTTTAATATTTTTAGACCGTGGATTAATGAATCAGTGGATACTGATCTCATTGATAAGGAAGTCCTACTGTACATTCAGTACAGTATATATATGTACAGTATATACAGTATATCTTTAACGATGAAGTTACCAGAACTGGAGGGAGCAAGATATAATGCTTTGTATAGCATTAACTACTTGCTAGTATAATAATTTTTAAAAATAATCTGCATTTTTCAGTATCTGCAGGGGTCCCTGGAACCATTTCTTTGTGGATCTGGGGGGTCCTACTGTATGTCTCTTCCAAAGACAAATGGAAACGCAGACTCCGAACAGAGCCAACAGGATGAGGACTAGCCAAGCGAGAACATTTGATGGCTAATCAGGACATTTCTGTATTAACACTACCTTTAACAATCGTTTTACAACTGTAGGTTACAGAAATCCTGTGCTATGTCTCTCCGAGATGTTTACACCAGTCTTCAAAGGATTTTTTCTTCTTCTTTTAACAATCTAGGATTCAAGCAACTCTCGTTAGTACCAGCATGGCCAATGTTTGCTGGCGTGCTAACAATTACAATCCAATAAACTGTGAGTGTACCCCAGTTTATTGGATTATAATTCTAAAGGAATGTTTTAAATTTCTGCACGCTAGTTTGAAAGTAAGGCATAAAGTTCATAGAATCATTTATGTAGTGCAATCTTATAATCATAATTATTATACCTGTAAAAGAAATTAATAAGTAAGAGCTGTCTGGGAAGAGTTGAGGTTGACCAGTTTGCTTAGGCTGGTGCCCCTACTTCTACGGCACATAATCTCAGGATCAAGGGTCTCGAGAAAGGTTTGTGGGTGTCTTTTCTTTTCTAGCTTTTAAGTTCCCCAGAAGGCGCCAGTCATGGTTCCTTAGGGAAGAGGCCTGGATAAATCAACAGACTGGCATTCAAGGTTTCCTCCTGCAGTGGTGCCTTGCTTGATGAGGATAATTCTTTCCGTTCAAATCGCTGTTAAGCGAAATCCTCGTCAAACGAGATTTAAAAAACCCATTGAAATGCATTGAAAACCGGTTCAATGTGTTCCAATGGGCGAAATACCTGCTCATTTTGCGAAGATCCTCCATAAGGCGGCCATTTTCCGGTGCCTGTAAAGTGAGGAATCCGTCCTAAAGCACAGCGGGGAGCCATTTTGCACAGCGGGCGGCCATTTTAGAGCCACCATTTAAATCGTCATAATGCGAAGAATCAGTTCCTGAAGCAGGGAACCAATCATCGTTAAGCGATTTCCCCCCATAGGAACATCATTTTGCAATCGCAATAGTGATCGCAAAAACTTCATCGTAAAGCGTTTTCGTTGTTTAACAAGGTTGATCGTTAAGCGAGGCACCATGTATCTAATTTGGCCCTAACGCACTTAGGGTTAGGCAGGGTTGCATGAAGATATGAGAAGACTGGGCAAGAGTGTAAGCTGTGAGGTCACATGCAACTCTCCCAAGTCCTCCGCAGGATCTCTCCAACGCACCCATCAATGGGGTGGAAAGAATGGGAGGGACGTGCTTTTCCGTTTCCAGAAGCCTCTAGAAGTGACGCTTTGTACATTGAAGAGGGTGGGACGCCTCTCCAACTCCAGCCGATCAAAACGGGGTGTAGACATTTCAGCATCTTGTTTAATTCCGTCCGTCCCGTGTCCCCCCCCCGATATTTCCATTTCAATATTTTTTCTATAGTTTTTGAAGCCAAACAATGGGTTCTTGGAATTCTGCATCAGCAGAAACCTGCAAAAATGTACCAAAAGCTGTGCACCAAGATATGGTATCATCTGATCCTATCTTTGCACTATTTCCATTTGGAAGAAACATAAATTTATATTATTGCTATTAATTTTGCCATAATGATGATGATATAAAGTATCAGTAGCAGTGGTAGTAGCGGAGTTTTCTGTTGGCTTCCCAAACTCTTTATCGGTTAAAGGGCAGTGTGTCGTTAATGGTTAAGATACTCCTGACAAATTGGCTTTACGACAGACGCCATTATTAACTCCGGAGGCTAAGGAGGAAATGGGGTAATTAGACTGAGTGGCACAAGTGACTAATAACTACAGTACTTGTGTAAATTATTGGATGAAGAACTGTTACTTTTCTCAACCTGTTTCCTTCAGCCCTTGGCGTTAACAAAGTGTTTGCTTCCCACAATTCACTGAGATTTCAAAAATGTGATCAAGGTAACAGAGAACTTGTCCAGCAGGATTCAAACCGCACAATGTCATCAAGAGAGCTTAAAATCCAATTTAGGTAGAGAGCCCAGGGGTATCTTTCCTGAGTTAAATTAGCTAGGCCTACGAGAAATACCACCACGACTTATTCATTCATTCGTTTCTTTCTTTATTTCAATTTTTACTCTGCCCATCTTGTGGCCAGGCTGGCCAACTAACAAGAAGGTCAACCACATAAACTAAAATTCAATAGTAAGCAACAAATAGACATTAAACAAGGGAGCAAACCAACCCCAAATTAAAATGTATATTGAGATACAAGATGGTGACGGACCAAACCGTCCACCATAAAATTGCGGGCCATCAAAAAGTAGCCCTGATTGGTTAGGGCATTTCACAGGATTCTGCTGCAGTGGTTAATTCCAAAATGTAGAAAATCACTATTATCACTGGAGGAGAATTTTAAAGATTTTTTTTTAGCTGGTTTTGGTTCATTTCCAGCACGTGCATTCATTGAGAGTGATCAAAGCAGAACTGATCACTTTAAATTTCCCACCCGGTTTTCAGTTTCCCAATATTGATAAGCTTAGCCACTTAAAGATAATGGGAAATTTAACACTTCCATAATAGACTTTGTTAGGGCAATGCACATTGGGGGTGGATGGGGTGGGGGTTGTATGCTATAAAGCCTCATGCATTGAACTTAACACAGGATCGTCAGCAGCTCTTCATGGGGCCCTGAATCACCAGATTGCCACATACTGGAGCAAACCCTGTTTCTGTGCACACACAGGCATGTTCATTCTTGATATATTACACAGGTGTGTCTTCAAAAGAAATGAATACCAAACAGGTCAATAAATCAGTACAAGGCGCAAAATGCAATAACTGCCTTGTAGAGTCTTGCATAAAGTCTCTGTATTCTCATATGTCTGAAGAAGTTAGACC